TATTGCGAGCATCATTCACGCTATCAAACGTCTCCGGTTTCTACGAACATGAACACAAGAGTAATTGATGATCGTCAATACTATCGGTACTCACAATTGACCGACATAACGGTTACGCTTGAATGGTTTGATTTTCTAATCTCGATCCCAGTTAATTTATCAAGAACGCCTCCACTCGGTAATTTCTGTCTGAACCGATTAGACCAGAGAAACAACCATTGTAAGTTGACTTCGGTTAAATATTTTGCGCGTTAACTCAGACAGTCAAAAGATTCGTGGAGTTTCGGTAAGTGAAATGTGAATGTTGTGATTACTTTCCGGGCTTTGGATTTGTCAAAACGATCACAGAAATCCAGACGTTTTCAAAGTCTTTCATATTATTGGAAGTCACCTTAATTAACAGAGGTCAACCGCACTCTCTCCCGTACACACCGTTGTCTAATCATCACTAAAATTTAAGTTGCAATAACAAACAAAAATTTAAAAAAGTCAAACAATTACAAATTACTGCACACGTGAAGGTCATCATTTATTGTCACAGGATCCAAAACTCACCCGCAATCGCCGAATAATAGGGCGTAATCGGGTTTAAGAGCTTTCATCGACATGAAGTGGTGAAATTCTACAACTTGGCCAAGGAGATTGCGTTGCAGTTGTACCTGCCACTGAATATAGAAAATATCATTGTTGTGAACGACAGAGTATTTAGTAATTTCAAAACTGAGAAACGATTCTAAACTACATCTTGTCCTCAAAATAAACTTAAAAGTCAAGTTTGAAGAAACATTCTTAAACAAGACGTGGAACAATACCAAAACCATATGCATAGGGAAAAAGTTCAAAACTACAAAATGCATACCCGTACTTAATCCTGTTAATATACGTGATTTACAGCTGACCCCCTTGCACTCTCTCGTTAGCCAAATCCTCACAAACCTCACCAGCATCTTAGGTAGGGGTCAATCATAGCTAGTGAATAGGAATTTGTTCACATATTATCACAGCTTCTCAACATTACAACACTCCCTAATTTTTGTTTCTTCTCAAAATTACTCTGGTTTTTCACAGAAATTACCCCAGTTGAATAAGCGTGCTAATTTTCTCCTGTGATCTATTAAACAGACTAATGCAGGCTATGGTGTATAAATCTGTGTTTCTATATATGTCAAATGGTTTAGTGAACATGTTTCGGCCAACTTCTGCCATGTACAGCGCGATAAAGCTTCTCAGCTAAATCCCTGCAAGAATCACACCTACATTTATTCAATGTGTAACACGCGTGGTAAGTTGGTTATTTTTGGTTTTAATCGCCCACTAATCGGGGTGGTATACTCAAAACCGGAGTCATTATTTTTACAGCAGGCTTAGATATGCCCGAGCTCTAAAATGATGCGTTTAGGCTCAGAAAAATATCGACAGACCTGAAAATGATATCTCTTGATTCAATAAAACGTGAACAAAAATTTACCATTTTTAAGAACGTTTCATCTATCAGTCTACATTCAATTCACCTAAAAGACCCATCATTTCGCTGCTGAACGCCTGCATGTAACGAAGGGTTCCAGACATCAATAGATACTGCTTTTGTTCTGTCCTGGGACCGATTGTGAAATAGGTTTTTTCAAGGGATATGTATCAATTTATGTAACCTAAACCGTCACTAATCTATTAGACAGATGAAAATAGGAAACTTGTCTTTTAATTTTCATTCTCGTTGAATTAGATAATCGCTTCGTACACCTCAACGGATGAAGAAAGTTGAAACTCGAACCAGGCCCAACATTTAACACAAATTTCCAACTGGTGAGAACTGTAAGTATTATGTCTCATTCTTACTCATCTGACAGATTCCGTGTTCAAATGAGTAAAAAAGTAGTTATGATGTTTCGTTGAAGCAGCAGGAAGGAACTTGAGATTCACCTTGGATCACTGGATGGTTGAATTCTTCCTAACCAATCATGCGTAAATTAACCACGCTGACCATAGATAAATTTGCTTTTATCTGACTCAACCTGACGCTCACTCCTGTGGTATGATGTATAAAACGTTTCTTCAAATCTCATGGTATAGGATTCCAGCTCCCAAAATCTATCAGCAGGTCCTTGGGTTCTTCACCGCAATAAAGTGTGCAGCAGAAATAGCTTTCACCAGGCCAGCGCACGGAAATGAATCTCAAAATCTTAGTCATCGGCAGCCAGAAATTGTTATAAAATTGATTATTAAAAATTGTTGTTGTTCGCATTTAAATGCAATGGAAATGTTTGTGATAACCAACAAAGATCACTAGACAGCTGTTTCGTCCTGTTTGGGACTCGTCAGCAGTGCGCACTTTTTATGTCCCTGTCAGGACTCGAACCGCGATTAGGCACAAGACCATCAAGAGTGCCTGGTGCCTCTGAACAATCGAATGGGCTAATCCAAGCTTGAAACTATGAATTGTTGTTGTTTATTTACAGAACACGGTATAAGATGCTATCTATGTTCATCGATAATGCTCTGCAGCTAACTTCGGAAACTTTCAAGTGCTTGCTGGAACAACCAGATCAAGATACGTCGTCCCCAGTAATGAATCCAGAAGTTGTCACACTGATAGTGAATATTTTGGGAGAATAGTGAACGATTTCTCTTTTCGATAAAATTTTAACATATCTTTGAAGCGAGTTGCAAAGGAGTGGCACAACAGTTGTCAAACATAACCTCGTAGTATCCTTTTCTCATTGGTTTCTTCATTGGTTATTATACAGGTAACAACCTGCACACTCATCGCAACTTTAACCAAATCGATTTTCCGGCAACATCGCCGACTAGTGATTGAGTTTATTTATTTAGAAACAGTGCACAGTCTGCGTGACCAGCTAACGTTCTCCAGACAAAACCAAAGCTAACTTACTTCTTGTTCTATCATCTGCTCTTTTACACAGCTAATATGTGGTGATGGGGGGCTGTTGATGGTGAAACAAAGTTTATTTTTGTTTTTTCTTCCTCAAATTTGTATTATTCCAAAATTTGGGTTATATATTTTCCAGCTGTGCACAGCAATATGCCTTAAAATGATTTCCCTTGAGGGAGCTGTCGGTCACTTTAAGATTAATCAGGCTGTCGCACACGTACGCCCATATGAGCTTCTTCTGGCCAATCAGATGTGTGTGAGTACGTCAGTGAACGTGTGCACCCTTGAGCACGAAGCCGATCGGTGGATCAGCGTTTGACGCAGGCTGACGAATGTGGCCCGTGTGCGGAGACCGGAGAAGCTAAATCGGACTAGGAGTGGTGCACCCGAATTCTGGTCCGAAATGAAGTAGACAAGTCCTGTAAAGATCATTTAGAGTATGGACGATAATGACCACAGTTAATCTATCAATGGATGAAATGGATGAATCGCTTTGCACCATGCAACTGTCTGATTTTGTTTCATATCGAGACTGTCACTCAGCTGGAACGAAAAAAGGAGGAAGTTGAAATATCATTTTTCTAGCTATGGGTTCAGTTGCCAGCTCCCAGTATGTATCCAATTGGTGTACATCTATCCCACTGGGCCAGAATGAACTTCTTCTGTTGAAATAATGAGAAATTTATATTTAGCTGTAATAAAAGAAAATTACCGTTTTGTTTCAGTAAAATTGATGATATGAATGATAGTTGTTTCACTTATTTCAATAAATCCAAGATTGTGCAACCGTGAAAGTTTCAGAATGTGTGGGCGGAGAACATTCATTCCAGGAAGCATCTTCTAAAGAAACACGAAATTTACTTGAGCCTTAAACACACGACAGTTAGGTTAATGTGATGATACACCGTGTAGAAAGAGTGCTACCACTAAGAAACGAGAACACTGTTTAGGATGAACAGTTGCTTTTGGTTATAAGGCTATATGATTCAACACGCTTAGGCCAGGTCTTTCATTTTATCCAAGGTTAGGAGCGTTTATCTTAAATTTAGAGGATGGAATCGGCTGAGGATGAGGATGGTCTATGTCCTGATCACCCAGCTTACTTCAGTATTGGAATATAGTGTAAGACTGTACTTGAAAAATCGAGATACTTGCGGCGTGAGAGCTAGTCGGGTTGATTACCTAGAACGGTATGTTTTTCAACCTATTATTAGCCTATTATTATTACACGTCTGCTAGCCACGTATATTCGTCCATATACTGAGTACTCAATTCAAGCCTGGACCCCATGGTTGCAGCAAGATCTGAAGGCACTCCAACATCCACAGAGAATAGCTACCAAAATGGTCAATGGTTTGCATTCCAAGACCTACGGAGAAAGATTACAGCTCCTGGGGCTATACTCATCCCAATATCGTCGAATCAGAGGCGATATGANGCGATATGATTTTACTCTATCGGATTTTCCAACAACCCAACCACCCCTGTAGACCTCTGTTGGTTTTATCGCACAAAGTTCATCTCAGAGGGCATCCGCTGAAGTTGGTACACCAAAAGAGCCGTCTCGACTGCAGACGTTACTCGTTTGCAGTCAGAGTGTGCAGCACATGGAACTCTCTACCATCTCACGTTGTCTGTGCCCCAACATTAGTATCATTCAAGCGTCAGCTTGATGATGTCCTGGAAACCGTTACATTTCAACACCCAACTACATAACATATTCTCCTGTGCTCGTTAAAACATTAATTTACTACTTTACTTTCATGGACTAACTGTGATATTGTGATTCTTCATCCGAACCCATGTGTAAACACCCTATGGGATTTGTAAAAGCGAAGTCTTTGTAAGTTATATCCCATAATAAAAATTTGAATTTAATTTGAAAGTTTAGCCAATATATTACGCTATGGTGTTTTAGAAGGGTGCATGGGATTGGAGAGATGGCTTGTAGGATCCACGGTTTATTCACTGAGTAACTCATGTAAAACCTATGGTCGCTTACTTCTATGGTTCTGGAACCTCTTATACCAAACGGAGAGCAAACGCGACAACGCTCGTCACTAATTTCAAACGTTTATCTCACTATGGGACGTTATACACAGGAAATAATTTCGTGATGTAGATTTGGTGAGCGCAGATGACTGATCTGCTCAGTCTGTACGTCACGGATCAGTGAATCTAAATGGGAGAATCAAGTTACGTTTAACTGGCCGTAGCCCGTAGCTTAACAAACGAGATGGATTGGTGCTGTGCATGAAAGAAACCATAGGAACCCGCACGCTGGAACCAATGACACTGCAAGAAACTAAGAATCAGGTATGTCTGACTACGAGCCACACGTTTGGGGACAAGGTTCGGTAGATGCCGTTACTTTTAGAGTGTTCTCGAGGAACGAAATCTTTGTATCTAGCAACTAAAATTCCGTGCTGATAGAATCGTTCAATGCAGACATCGTTTTTCAGAGTTTCATGTATTTAACAATAGGTGCTCTCTAAAATATATATTTAATCGTTCAGGAATTCCAAAGCCTTCAGTGGTACGCATCACATATTTTCATTGTGTGAGACACTGGCATTGTTATTAATTTCTATGTGTACCTAAATCAGTTACTAGTGAAGCATAAGTTTATTCCTCCTCCCATCCAGGTTTTGCCTGAGAAATAGTCCTTTTCAAAAAGAAAGCGGATTTACAGGGTCTTCTCTAGACTATGTC